CCTGGGAACACTCTACCTCTGTGATACGATTTCTTCAGCATCACCTTCTCCTACGGAGCCCACAGCCTCAGCTAGAATACTCAGGCTTCAGCTTGGCTACTCCTTCTCCTGCAGGCTTCCTTCACATACTTCCAACTCATCCCAAGGCCCTGCAGTTCATTCCTTCTTCTATGGTCTCACTGCTGCCCTTGTTGGCCCCCCTTCCCTCCCCACTGTTCAAACCCTCTTGGGTCCTTAATGCAGCTGTCCCGCCCAGATTCCTCCAGGTGGCTCTCTTGATTCTGCTCTGATGGTGTGGTGGGAGAGCAGCTACTGGTGCTCTCCCACCACACCAGCACCCGTAGTCTGCTGTATCTTCAACTGGCTGCCCCAACCCTGCCTTCCAGTGCAGTCTGTCTGTCCGTCCTTCCTTCCTTCCTTCCTTCCTTCCTTCCTTCCTTCCTTCCTTCCTTCCTTCCTTCCTCCCCTTCCCTGTCCCCCTTTTCCCCTCTTCCTAACTCCTTAAATCAGGGCTCCCAAACTCCTGACCCCCTCCCAGCACCAGGTCTCCCGTGTTCAGGTCTACATGCTTGCTTGCTGTAATATCTCCAGTGGGATGCCCAGTGAATAGTGCTTAAATGAATGAAGTGAGGCATTGGTCAGAGAGGCCACTGAGGTCAGTCTTCTGTTTTCTGGCTTCATTTGTCTCTTGGATTTGAAGTTGCTGGGTTGGGTACCCATTTCACTCTTCTTTCTCCTCACTTTGGGCTTGGGGTGGGGATGTGTGTGGTGGGGTGTGTTGTAGAGAGTGGAGGGTGGAAGGTGGAGGGAGGTTCTAGGTACATCCTACTGAGTTGACAGCAGGAGGGACCAGGATAGAGCAAAGGAGGCCAGAGGCAGCCAACCCGTGGTATATCCCCACTTCTCCTACGTCCGTCTTTGTCTTTCTCATCAGTTTTTCTTAAGGCCATAGATGCTTGTCCCCTTGTCTGGGTGCCGCTCCCCCTTCCTCTTCCGGAGTTCAGGGCTGGACGGAGTGAGACACTCCATTCTCTATAGCGGCCCCTCCTCAGTCTTCGCCCTCCCTCCAGCTTCCCCCAACTCCTGTAGCCTTCACTTGCCTGAGCCAGTGCGTGGACTCTCCATTGTCATCGTACCCGACTGACCGCCAAGCGCAAGGAGACCCAGGGAGTGCCGGGAGTCAGCCCCGTCCGCCCCGACCGGCTTCGAGGGGCTGGCTGGGCGCCTCGCCGGACGCGCGGCGGGGTGGCCCCTGGTAGAGACGCCGGGAGAGCCCGATCAGCCCATGCTAGAAACCCGCACCCGGAGAGTGGGCGGCGGGGGGGGGGGAACCTGGGCTTCCTGCCCCCGCGCGGACCGAGACACGCAGCCGGGGTCGGTTCGGCTCCCTCGGAGCAGCTCCCGCGGCGGCGGCGGCGGCGGCGGCGGCGGGAGGGGCCGGCGCGGGGCCGTGGAGAGCGGAGCCTGGTCGCCTTCCGCTGCCCCCAATCCCTCTCACTGCGTGGGCGGCCGACCTCGGCTCCTGCCACCCCCGGGCGAGCGGCGTTCCCACCCAGTACCTCCAGCCTCCTGCTCCGCGTGCGACGCGTCCTTCTCCCTTTGACTCCTCTCGGTTCCCGGTTTGCAAGCATCCTAGCAAATAACTCCGGGCCGCCCATATGTTCTCGGTGACACTTTCGCCGGGTACAGTGGATACACTGCAGCTCCCTTCAGGACCGCCCTGCCTCAGCCTCTAATGGATTCCCTTGTCAGCCCTGGACGGGCCTGGCCCTTTGAGAGGCAGGGAGAGCTTTCCAGGGGTGGGGCTTGTTTTCTGCACCCCTTCCCCAATCAACCTAGAAAGGGGAGTGGCCATGGACCCCTATAGTGGTGACTATCTCAGAATGGGATTTGTTAGAGCATGGAGTTGAGGGATCCGATGGATGTGCTGGGCTTCAGGCTGCACTTCAGGAGGCCTGGGTGGGAAGCTGCAGGCCCTGGAAGAGTTCTGCTGGGAGGGCATCTCTGCCCTCTTATACCTTCTTTTATCCATGCATCTTTCACAAGCCCCACCTGATGTGTCCTTGTCTGTGCCCCAGGCAACCTTCCTCCTGAGGTGGAAGTGAGGGTGGGCTGCAGCCATCCACCATTTGCAGACGAGGAAACCCAGGTTCAAGGTACCCAGCTTTTTGCCCCTGTCCGTGGAAGGCCAGAATCAGATATGAGTCTCATTTCCACCACCCAGCAGGAGCAGTCCTCCTCCAGGTTGGCCCAGCAGGGGTGTGACTTCAAGGGTCTGCCTGGACCAAGCACTGTACCTTTGGTTCTCTGCTGTATTCTCAGCATAGTGCTGGCCCAGCCACAGCCCAAATATCAGATCGGGGCTATTTTTTTTTTTTTTAATTCGGAAGGGGTGGTCCTGGGACTTGAACTCATGGCGTTATGTCTGCTAGGCAGGAATTATCACTTGAACCACTCTGTCAGTGCAGAGATCAGGGCTATTGGAAATTAAGGATTTCCTTACTGAAAATACTGTTGTCCACCCCCACCTCCATGCCGAAACTTCTGAGGACTCTATTGCTGCTCAAAGGTGAGGAGCCACTCCCTCCAAACACTACCTACTATACCACACTGCCAACGTGCCCCCCCCCCTTTCTTCTCAGAGCATGGCAGGGGAGAAAAGACATTGCTTCACAGGGACCACTTCCAGGGCTTGGAAAGGTAGAAGGAGAGAAGCACATACACCTGGGGAGATTGCATCTGGCCATCCACCTGAGCCAGAAGGAGGTCACAGAGAGCCCACAGCAGAGAAAACAGGGGAACCAAGGGCCCAGGTCTCAAGAACACCCACCCAGCCTCGAGAACTCTTTGAACTCTCACCAGATCTTCTACAATGGACATAGACAGTTCTTATCTTTATTCCATCCCGATCCGCAGCATCTCTCTGTGCCTGATTCTGCCAGGCATTGGGGATACCATAGCTCTGCCTTGGGGAGATCATGCCTTGGAGGGGCTAATGGGGGAGGGTCTCTCCTTTCCACAACTCAGGCTCCACATTCCCCATCACAACCCTCCAACCTTGGGCATATCTTTGGGGCACGGGGGAGGGGTGGAGGGGAGGAGGATTGAAGATGGATAGGAGGGAGGGTTTCCTAATTTATCAAGGAGGAGCCGGAGCTGATGATGATGTTGAGGAAATGGAGGAAGGAAAGGAGAAGGCAGGGGCTTCTGCAGAGGCAGAAGGGAAGTGGAGATGAAGGAAATCCAAGGACAGAAGTCAACTTTCCTTGGGCTGGAGGAACCATTCTCCACAACTGGCCAGCATTTGTGAAATTCAGCCCCATCATGGAGGTTGTCCCACTGAGGTGAGGGAGTTAAGTCCTATGCTTGTGCAGAGGACAGAGCTTGTGCAGAGAGACCTGGATGCAAAGCCTGGCTCTACCACCTTCCCTGGAGCACTTGAGGCCTCAGTTTTCTCATCTGTACAACAAAATGGGCTTTCCCACTTTGGTTTGGTTTTCCAGCATCCACTGGTTACCTCCTGTGTGCCTGACCTTCTGCTCCTACTCTCAAGGGGGAGGTACAGGCCAAAGCCATTCAGAGTGATAGGCTGTCCTAGAGGGGTGCTCTGGGGTTGTGGTAGTGCTGTGTACGTAGGGAAGCTTCTAGGAGGAGGAGCCATATGTATGGATCCTGGAAGAATGAGACTGTCCTCAGCTTGTCTTCTCCCCAAAGCATGACATGGAGCAGATGCCTAACAATGCTGCTCTGCCTAAAGGTGCAGGTGTGGAGGGAGGAGAACTGTCTTCTGCCCAGACATGTACATCTTGGCCTCTCCTCACCTCAAAACCCATTGTAGATGGAGCCCCTGATATGGCTCCCTGGGAAAGCCTATGTAATTGTTTTCCTATTAAATTCAAGCCATTAGTATTTATTAAGCACCTACTGTGTGCCCTGCCTGGTGCTATAGACTAGAAAAGGGGAAGCATTCAACATAGGTTTTTAAGTAAGCTTACTAATGCTTGTGTGAAAAAGACTTTAAGCCTGCCTGGAGGTATCAAGAGAGAGGGGGACACAGGCTGCTGGAAGAGGATGAAGACATGTGGTTAGGAGATGCTCCGAGTTTGGCCTTTACTTTCTTTCTTTTGATGGTACTGGTGTTTGAACTCCGGGCTTCTCACTTTCTGGACAGATGCTCTACCACTTGAGCCACTCCACCAGCTGAGCTTGGCTTTTAAAGGAGAGAAATTTCTATAGGCAGAGGGAGCAGGCAGGCCTCCAGAATACAAGGCCAGGCTTGTTTAAATGAGGATAGAGAGAGGATTGGGAGAGAAGAGATGGCTGGCAGGCTTATCTGGAGCCCTGAGTGGTGCAGTTAAACACCAACAGTCTCAGGGCAAGGCTCAGCTGGGGAGGTTACCTCTTCTGACCCCTAGGCTGGACCAGTGGTTCACCTGAGCTCCTGTAATAGTGGTGAACATTTTGTCTGTGTCTGTCCCTCTAAGTCCTCTCCTCCAGGGACCCTCAAGAATATGTCTCAGGGCCTGTCCCTGAGAAATAACCCAGAAATTTGATGTTCTGAAAGCAATCTGGTCTCATCCCTGCCCTCTACCTGATGACCTCTGGAGACCCAGGGCCAGGCTGTGTGTGTGTGTGTGTGTGTGTGTGTGTGTGTGTGTGTATCTGTGGCCACTGTAGTCAGGATAAGCAAGGGACTAGTACTAGTCATCCCCTGGACCTCAAATTCCAGAGAAAGCAGTCAGTAGATCAGAAAGGGAACAAGGCTGAGATGCAGTCCAGAAAGAAAAGCCAGGTGGAGACTGAAATATGGGAGCCCTGAGGGGCCAGCAGCGACTTCAGGGGATACCACTCTGAAGAGCCTCCGTCAGAGGCAAACGCAGATCTGACATCTCCAGGGAGGGCCTGGCTCATCTCTGGTTTGGGTCTTCTGGCTTGGACCAGGAAGTTCTGTGAGATAGGGGTGATGAGCAGGAGGGGAGGGCAAGACAAGGGGCAGTGCTTCAGCTCTCCTCAGCACTCCGTCCTCCAAGTTTCAGCTTTTCCAGGGTCCTACTCACAGTGGACAGGCTGCTGCGGGCCCCTGGGGGAAAGACCAGGATGGGGCTGCCTGAGTATAGATTGCCATGGAGCTGTAGGTCAAATGGACTTGGGGTAGGAGTGCCAGGGGAACCCCATGACAGAGCTTGGATAGTTGGGGAGAGGGGGATTCCTAGGAGGCCGACAGACAGCCCATCAAGAAGACAACAGCATGGTGTGTGGTGGTGGTTGTGGGGCAGCTGCCTGGCTCTAGTGCTGGCTCCACTGTTTCCTAGGTTAAGCATGTCAGTCTTCCTGTGCATTGGTTGCCCCATATGTAAAAAGAAGCTTGTTATATAGCACCTCCCTCGTATGGTTGTTGTGAGAATTAAGCAAATTAATATAGGTGAAGTGCTTGGGATAGTGTCTGGAATGGGACTTTCTGTTGAGTAAGTACTAGGTATCCTCCCCCTGGTGGCAGAGACTTTGGGCTGGGGCCCCTGTGCCACCATGGAGACACTCCTGTCCTGGGTTTTTCCAGTGTGTGGAGGAGAGAAGATGTCCAGTGTCAGGTATCAGCTCTGAGAGTTGGATTCTACCATGGAGAGCAGAGAGGGAAAATAAACTAGGGCATGGGAGCTAGGGCAGGGGAAGGGAAAGTGGGGACCCCCTCTCCATCCCAGTGTCCATCCTGGGAAGGATAGGACAGCCCTGAGGATAAACAGGAGATAAACTCAGTTCTGCACAAGAAGACTTTGAACACATGGACGAATTACCCAAATCATGCTGCTTCCCTGGGTTGAGAAAACCACCCTTCCCAAGCCCCACAGGGCTGCCCAGCCAGAGGGAGATGAAAGATGGACTACAGGATTTCAGGAACTCACCTTCCTTATTGCCATTGGTGTTGGATCTTCCCACTGTATGGTCTGCCCCTGGGTTGGGGTGGACTCTCAGGCTTCCTGCAGGATGAGACCACCCCAGACCCCTGGTTACTGAGCTATTCCCAAATTGATTCCACCCAGCTTGGGATGGAAAAGTCCTTCCTGCTCTCTAATCTCCATCCTTGTTGCTGCCTTTGCACCACTGACTTCCTTAGGGCCTCGTATGTGACCTAGGCTGATTTGGGAAGAGGCAGAAGAAATGAGTCCTTGAAGGAGATGGCAAGTTTTTTAAGGGGCAGGAGTCCTGGGGAGGACTAGGGACATGTAAAGCCCTGTAGGACTGAGGGAGTTGGAAGTCTGTAAGTGGGATGCTGATATGAGGAGGGAGCATATTCAGCGGTCTTGGGATCCTAGGGTAGATAGAGGGTCTTTATGGGGCTCAGGGATGAGAGGAGATTATCTGGAGATCTTGGGAGCTTTGGGGTGACGGAAAGTCTATCAAGGGAGATGGACTACTTGGGTTCAGGTAGCAGGCTGAATTCGGCTATGCTGTAGCCATGGCAACGCCTGTACAACACACACACAGCAACTCCAGCATACAGCCAAGAGCAGTCTTACACGTGGGCTTGCTCAGCTGCACAGCTGGTCATGGGCTTACACAAAAAGGGTCTGTCACAGTCCTTGGGATAGAGTCTGCTGGGGGCCTGGGAGAGGATTCACCTATTGCAGGCAGGAGGTGGTCCAGGTTGAGCCGAGTCTTCAGGAAGGGGTAGGCGAAGATGAGGAGCCCTGAGAAGAGACACAGAGGGGTTCTATGATGGGGAGGGGCCTGACTAGTGTGAAGTGCAGGAGGCTGTGGATGGGCTATAAACCTGGGGGCTGGTTTATATGGGTGATATGGGTGTGCATGGGAGGGCACAAATGTGCAGGATTGGGACTGTGGATATGTAAATGGGAACCAGTGAATGTGTGCATGGGACAGCTCCCTAATACCCAGCCATATCTGGTTGGGGGATGGTGCCTATCTGAAGGAAGGGACTATAGACTGTGAAGGCCACAGGCTCTTAGCTCCATCTTGCCCAGATAAATTGCAGGTTGGTTATCTCCCCTTTTTGGCTGGAATTGGGCCCAGCTGACACCAACACCACCAAATCTTCCCTGCCTTTCCCTAGGGACCTCAGGGCTGGACTGGGGGCTCCTCTGTATGCTCCTCCCCACCTGAACCTGGAGAGGGGGTAACAGCAGAGCAGATCCCACCCTGCTCACCCCCACTTCCTCACAAAACCAAGTATCTGTGCTACAGTTTGCAGGTGCCCATACCTAGAACCCCCAGACTGGGGCTCTAGGTTCTGCTTTTAGCCTGGGGTGGTGGAGTGGGGTGAGAGACAGCACTCAGCATCACTGTGGAGTTGTCAGTTGGCTTGGCTGGACAGATGGATGTAAAGAGAGAAACTAGGAAAGAAAAGGATATCCTTCTTCTGAGCTACCTGTTTTACTGGTCCCCATCGATCCATCCCAAATATAAGAGCCCTCTGGGGCTATGGAGCTGGGGCATGTGGGTGGGGGAAGGCAGCTAGAAAGGAGTGTGACAAGCAGCCCTCTACCAACCACTGATAGGAGCCTCACTTCAACCCTCCTTTCCTCTCTGTACCCAGAGGGTTGCCTTGCTTGCACCTCTACCTTCCATTCCCCAACTCATTTCTACTGACTCAACCTTTCCCACCATTTCTCATTCACCTGACCACGTCTCTGCTCCCCACTGAAACCTCTTTCCCCTACCCCAGCCCAGCCTGCTCACCCAGCCCGGCAGCACCAAGAAAGATACCGCCTACTGCAGCTGCAGCCTTGGACACGGAGACGCCGATGATGATGCTGCCGGCCACCAGGCCAAGGGCCACACAGGCCAGCTGCAGACAGTGGAAGTCTCTGCTACTGATGGAGATATCCATGCAGGCCTACCCGGGGTACCTCCTCCAGCTGCTCCTGGGGTTCTTCTTGGATGTGATCCTTGAGTTTCCACTTTAAGGGTGGAAGTTTCTGTGCAGTAAGAGTCTGGGCTGGCAACTTGTAGATTTATCAGCAATCTTATCCCACAATACTCCTAGGGTCCCCAGCCCTACCTTGACCTGGGCACCCCAGCTTACTCTTCCTCCCCTAAAGGCCTCTGGAACTGGAGGCCACTCTTGGGACTCCTGCCTGGGCTCATTTCTGTTTTGGCTGCTAGAGACCTGGGCCTGCCAGCCTTTACTCGGGCCCTGGGAGAGCTTGGCCCCAGCTCCCCTGCCCAGGACATCCTTCCCCAGCTCCCTGGAGTCTGCTCAACTGCCAAAGAGCCTGGTTTATTAAAGTTTAAAGCAAGGAGAGGTGGGAGTGGGGCGTGGGTCCAGGTGACCTGGGTTCTTTAGAGGTGCAGGTGGCAGGGAGGTGCTGAGTTATTCATGAGGTTGCAATGTGAGACACTGCCTGAGTCCCAAAGGCCCAAAGGCAGCCAGCCCAGGTTCCACTGTTGGTTCCTGAGCAGGAAGAATGAGCTGGTATCTTCACATGGGGTTCAGAAGCCAGAGATATGAGGGGAGTCCCTGGTCACATATTCAAGGTTCACTCTGCTCTCCTCTACCCTTTGGCCTGGAGGTATACCTGGGGCCTCTGCTTGGAGACCTAGAGACAAAGACATGGAAGGAGACCCGAATAAGGCTCAAGAGACAGGAACTGTGAGAGGGTCAAGAAGAGGAGAGGGAGAGGTAACCCTCCAAGTCCACTCTTTACCCAAGTCCACTCTCTACCCTGCACTGCCCCCCTCCACCGTCCTGTCAACCTCTGACTCCCAGGCAGGACCAAGCAGTCTTAGCTTGAGGTTTAATCGTAGGGGAACTCCCATTCTTCGTTTAGCTGTGGTAATCCCTTTAGTTGCAATTGGG